CCGGAGTCCTGGACCTGTGGTCTGTTAGGAATGAGGCCTCATAGTAGGAGGTGAGCAGCTAGTGAGTGAGCGGGTGAGCAAGCAAAGCTTCATCTGTATTTGTAGCTTCTCCCCAGCCCTAGCATCACCGCTTCAGCTCCACCTCAGATCATCAGGATTTTCATAGACACACTGGTGCCAAAAAGGTTGAAGAGCACTGCCCTACGAGAGATACCTTTTTGGGAAAATCTCTCTTCATGGTTAGCTTTCTCATTTGTATCACTTCATGTACTGTGCTGTCTTGTCACAGTGCAGCCAACGCTGGAATCATTAAGATTTTATTACGTTTGTCCTAGTATCATTATATTATACAATCGGCAGTGCTTATTGACAGTTCTTATTTTCTGTACTGTGATTTTTATAGTCTGAGTTTATTAAGCGCTCCTGGAATACAGGCTCCTGGAATTAATTTAAAAAACAAACAAACAAACCCTTCTTAGGCAGCACTAGGAGAGAAACACTTGTCTGAAAGCTTTTACATGATTTGTGTGCTTTAAGTCTCAGTTCGTATGAAAAGAGTTAAAATAGCCTGGAATAACCGCTGCTGTTACTGTCATCGGTAACAGATTGGCAGGGCCAGGATCTTGCTGTCTCCAAAGTGCATTTGTTGCATATTGATTTACACTCGGACTTTAGAAACTGTGTTTTTTTGCTCTTAAATGAAAATTTCTGTTTTTACCTAGCACCTTCCATTAAGCCATTCTTCATAATCTCCAGTTTCCTGGAGAGGAAACATATTCAATGCAGCATTCAAACAAACAGGAAAAAAAAAAACAACGCTCTCAGTATTTGAAATTCATCTTGTAAAGCAAAATCTTTTTATTCCCAACAGTTAGAGACTTACACATGAAACGTGAGCTTGTTTATTATCAGGACTACTTCAGTGCGAAGCAAAGAGTTGAGGGAAAGTCTCGTGCAGTCAAAGTTTTGTTCCTTCTCTCGGCTGGGCTGGGTTTCACCTTTTCATTCACATTTCAGCCAGCTTGTATCCCTATGCAGAACATCTTAAATCTCCTCCTTGGCTTGCACCCTCTTGTCCTTCAGATGGTCACATAGACAGTCCTTCCCCTGCAGTGTCTTTGATACCCTGTGGACTAAGTTAGAGCTGTCCACACAGTAATGCATTTCCCTGGTGCCCTGAGCTTAGATCTCTTCCCATAGTACCGTGGTTCCCTGCTCATTCATTTCTCTCCCCTCACTAACTTTAAACTTCACAAAGCCAAAAACCACATCAGCTCCACAAAAGACTGTATTCTCATTCTAGTGCTCAAGAAACATTAGTCGAATAAGTGAATGAACAACATATTGCATTTTCATGCTTTTTTGGTGTCCCTGCAAAGGAGCATTTGTAAGTTCTGTTTATTAGAAACTTATCTTCAATTTTCTTTATAAAATCAGAATAATAATCTTAACCTTCTAAGGTACTTAGAAGATGGTACGAGTCAGTGGTTCTCGACTTGGGGAAGTTTTGCCACTCCGAGGACATATATATGGCAATGTCTAGAGACATCTTTGAGTGCTCATGGTAGCCCCACAACAAAGGAATAAATGGGCCCAAAATGTCAACAGTGCTGAGGCTGAGGTGATTTTACTTTGCTCTACATATTGGAGTTCTTTGAATATCTTTGAATATCTCTAACAGTATCAGAACACAAATAACAGTTTATAATTATTATGTCCTTGCCATATGTCAGACACCATATAAACTTTTTACGAATATTATCCTACTTAAACCTCTCTAGAGTGCTGTGAGTTAGGAACTGTTATGATCCTCATTTCTCATGTGAAGAGACTAAGACCTAAAAGGCTAAATAGTTTATCTAAAACCCTACAGTTACTAGGTGTCAGAAGTGAGATGAAAACTCAGGGCCTAGGATTTTGACTATTACACTATACAACTTTTTCTTTAAATACTGTTTCCTACTTAAGGTCCTAAAGTATTTTTGCCCTCAGTATTCAGTAGGAATTGGAGATGAAAATATAGAGGAAATTTTAACCTACTGAAATTAAAAAAAATTCCATGTTCATAATTTTACACTTGCACTAATTTGAACAAAGATACAGTATGTTGGCTGGCATCATATGTAGGCTGTTGTTGGTCCAAGGATGAGAACAAATCTGCTGTGCACTGTTATTTTGTGGTATTCCCAAGAAGTTCCAAAAAAATCATGAGTTTGTTTTCAAATTCAAAATTGTCCAACTTTCTGTAATATAATCATATTTATAAATGTTTTGTACATAGGTATATTTTAACATTTTTGCAAATGTTAAAATGGATGTAAAAAAATGAGGGAGGGAGACTGCCATATATAACTTTAAGAAAAAGAACAGAATATGTTTTGTAAAAAAAAAATCGTACCTGTCATAGCCAATCAATACATTGCGGTCTTCTAGATGATACTTTTTTTCCTATAAAGATGGATAAACAGTCATAGTTTGCTCCTTGTAACCTTATGAGGAGCTTTCTTCAGGACCACATCCTCTCCTTATATAATTCTAAAAGAATCACTTTTAAATAAAATATACCTGCAAGAGCTCAAGGCTTGAGACAGAGGGTTGGCTGATGGGACTTTCTCTCTCCTCCAGAGGATTCAGCTTAAGCAAGTGGAAAATTTACAATCTGGATACATAATGAGTCCTCAGGTCCATCCGGGACACTTTGTTGACTCTCAGTGATTATTGCTTTGAGGTTGTTAGCTGACTAACTTCTCAGGTAAATGCTGTAATCCTCAAGTACTAGTGTATTGTTTTACAGGCCTTAAAAACTTGGGGTATAAACACAGGTAAGAACCTATTTCTTTTACTTAAGAATTTACTTAGAGACCCCGGAACAGCTATTTTCCTCACTTAGGAAATTCCATTCACATCACACTTGGAAAATTTCTGTGAAATACTCAAGAAGACATTAGGTTCTATTATTTTAGTCTCATTTTCCTACCTCTTTCAAATAGTAAATGATAAGTATTTTGTCCTTAAATAAATTATGCTCTGTAAAGTGGGCTCCTCTGATTACAATTAACTCTTAAAGCTCTTACCAGACATTAGTGCTTGCCATTCAAACATTTTTCAAGAGTCCACTGTGGCTGAGTGACTCATATAGTCATTATACTGCCATACCTATAAGATGTCATTACATATAAGATGTAATTTGAGACTATCTCTTGGGGACAGGAGTGATTAGTATGCCTTATGCCTTTATTCTTCACAATAGAGTCATTTGACATACTCTTATACTTATTTTACATTTAATAAATTAATACATTTGGATGAGTAAGATGGCACTGTGTTAAAGGCAGTGCTTCTCAAATTTTAATATGCATACTCTAGGTTCTCACTAACGTGTAGATTTTGTGTTTCCAGCAACTTCTGAGGTCAAACTCATGCTGCTGGACCAAGGATCACACTTGAGTAGCAAGCTATTAGGGAACATTGAGATGGTTTGAAAATTTGAAATCTGAACTAAGGATGGCATCAAGCTGATGGCATTAAACTCAGTTTTCTTATACTACCTTTAATTGTATTATAAATTATTCTTTAAGCATATAGGGATTTTGAACAGGATGGCTCCTATTCAATGTCAAACCATACATTTGTAAGTTTAACAAATTAAATAATGCTTGATTTTTATAAAGCATCACATCCATCTGTTTTTGCACAGAAGGCAATTCCCTTTTAAATGTTCTCAAACAATAAAATAGGAATTTTACCATTCTGGTCATCAAAGGCATTTTTTAGATGGTTCACAATCTTTTAAATTGTAGAACAAATTTATAATATCCTTGACACTTAAATAGCACTTATTATTTTTTTCCCCCGTTTTAAATTATGTGTCTAAAGATAACTAAGGGGACAATTTCAAATAGTTTCTCTGTGCTTTTAGATATAAGTTGTTTCAGTGTCTGGGTATTGGTGAGAATTAAGAGACTTATAGCTTGCCATGTCCTATCATGTTAGCTTATTTTGTAGGAAAATCAAATCTGGCACCTTTCAATTAGCTTCTTTACCTCTCAAATCTAAAAACAGATGGAACATGTTCTGAAGAAAGAAGGCATGATTACTATCTGTGGTTTGCCTTTACTTCCCCAACTCTGTCTTCTATCATTTCAAAGTTTCCTGAAAGCTTTTCTTTAAAAGCAGGAAAAACTCACAGATGGGAAGACGGTTGTGTTGTTTAAAAATAATATATTCCCTGTCATGAGATTGACAACTAACTGCCAAAGGGATCACAGTGGTGTATCTCATCTGTGTCCAGAGGTCCCGAAAGGAGGGCTAAGGGGAGATGTTTCATGGACTGGAGTTTGGTCATTCTGCTTGGTAACTCGGGCGTAAGCTATTTTAGAAGAAGACAAAGATGAGAAGAAGCAAGAGTGGAGGAAAAATATATTCTCTGTGCCTTCACACGGGCTTCTGCACATTAGATTTATATTGCTTCATCACAGTATCAGATCAAAAGGCTGCAACTTTTCAAATGACTTTGTAGATCCCCATTTTGCATTTATTTATTTATTTATAACTGGAGAAGATTACACATCTTTTCCCTTAAATTTTATTAGTTGCTCAGTCACTTGTTCCATCTTGAAACAAGGCTGCAACCAGTTGGATTTATAGGTGATCATCCTCATTTGATTCAGTGGATTCAGCAGTGTGCCTGGGGCATCTACTTGTTTGGATATGCACATAGATACTTACCAGAAGGTACTGTTAGGACTGTAAAATTCACAATACAATCATTAATAGTGAGTGGTAGCAGTAGGGTTTTCTTTTGAAGATAATCATTTTCATTTCTTGAATACATTTTCAACTAAATTATTGCTACTTAAAATATCACTTAATGCCAACGGCCTGCCTCTAGTCATTTAGACCGAATCTCACGGTTGGTTCTTGAAAGTCGCATAGTCAGATCAGCATTTCTTCCACTGCTACCCTGAACTGATTCTTTTCTTTCTACTTTCCTACAACAGATTCCCTTAACCAAGAAGTTCATAGTCTGATCAACGCTGACCTGCCCTACCACAGAAGAAGAGAGTTCTGCCTGCCCAGTTGGGCCCCAGTTGACTGCTGATAACTTGGCTTCTTGCCTGTGTGGGAAATTTTCTCTACTGATTTTCTTTCTCTCTCTCTTTTTTTTTTTTTCTTTTGCACATGGAGGACAACACAGGCTGATGAGACCAGAGACTGCAGAAGGAGGCTTTTACCACGAGCCTTTGGGACTTTTCCTGTAATTGGAGTTCTGGACTTTGACAGAACCCGGTCCAGTCAGTCATTTGGGTTTTGCTATCTATTCTTTTTTTTTTAATTTCTTTTTCTTTTCCGCACCACATCGTGTTTTTATTTCCGTACTTCAGAAATGGGCCTACAGACCACACAGTGGCCCAGCCATGGGGCTTTTTTCCTGAAATCTTGGCTTGTCATTTCCCTGGGGCTCTACTCACAAGTGTCAAAAATCCTGGCGTGCCCCAGCGTGTGCCGCTGCGACAGGATCTTTGTCTACTGTAATGAGCGAAGTTTGACCTCAGTGCCTCTTGGGATCCCGGAGGGCGTAACCGTGCTCTACCTCCACAACAACCAAATTAATAATGCTGGATTTCCTGCGGAACTGCACAACGTACAGTCGGTGCATACGGTCTACCTTTATGGCAACCAGCTGGACGAATTCCCCATGAACCTCCCCAAGAACGTCCGAGTCCTCCACTTGCAGGAAAACAACATTCAGACCATTTCACGCGCGGCTCTGGCCCAGCTCTTGAAGCTCGAAGAGCTACACCTGGATGACAACTCTATCTCCACAGTGGGGGTGGAAGACGGGGCCTTCCGGGAGGCTGTGAGCCTCAAGTTGCTGTTTCTATCCAAGAATCATCTGAGCAGTGTGCCTGTTGGGCTTCCCGTAGACTTGCAGGAGCTGCGAGTGGATGAAAATCGAATCGCTGTCATCTCAGACATGGCCTTTCAGAACCTCACAAGCTTGGAGCGTCTGATCGTGGACGGGAACCTCCTGACCAACAAGGGCATTGCGGAGGGCACCTTCAGCCATCTCACCAAGCTCAAGGAGTTCTCCATCGTAAGGAATTCGCTCTCCCATCCCCCACCCGACCTCCCAGGTACGCACCTGATCCGGCTCTATCTGCAGGATAACCAGATAAACCACATCCCCTTGACAGCCTTCGCAAATCTCCGGAAGCTGGAACGGCTGGATATATCCAACAACCAGCTGCGCATGTTGACTCAAGGGGTCTTCGATAACCTCTCCAACCTGAAGCAGCTCACCGCGCGGAATAACCCTTGGTTTTGTGACTGCAGTATCAAGTGGGTCACCGAATGGCTCAAATATATCCCTTCATCTCTCAACGTGCGAGGTTTCATGTGCCAAGGTCCTGAACAAGTCCGGGGGATGGCTGTCAGGGAGCTGAATATGAATCTTTTGTCGTGTCCCACCACGACACCCGGCCTGCCTCTCTTCACTCCAGCCCCGAGTACGGCTTTCCCCACAACTCAGCCTCCCACAGCCTCTGTCCCCATCCCCAGCAGAAGCTATACGCCTCCAACTCCTACCACCTCGAGGCTTCCCACGATTCCGGACTGGGATGGCAGAGAAAGAGTGACTCCGCCCATTTCCGAACGGATCCAGCTGTCTGTCCATTTTGTGAATGACACTTCGATTCAAGTCGGCTGGCTCTCTCTCTTTACTGTGATGGCGTATAAACTCACGTGGGTGAAAATGGGCCACAGTTTAGTAGGGGGCATCGTTCAGGAACGCATCGTCAGTGGTGAGAAGCAGCATCTGAGCCTGGTTAATCTGGAGCCCAGATCCACCTATCGGATTTGTTTGGTGCCACTGGATGCTTTTAACTACAGAGCTGTAGAAGATACCATTTGTTCCGAGGCCACCACCCATGCCTCCTATTTGAACAATGGCAGCAACACTGCTTCCAGCCACGAGCAGACGACTTCCCACAGCATGGGCTCCCCTTTTCTGCTGGCAGGCCTCATCGGGGGCGCAGTGATATTTGTGCTCCTGGTCTTGCTCAGCGTCTTTTGCTGGCACATGCACAAAAAGGGGCGCTACACCTCCCAGAAGTGGAAATACAACCGAGGCCGGCGGAAAGATGACTACTGCGAGGCGGGCACGAAGAAGGACAATTCCATCCTGGAGATGACAGAAACCAGCTTTCAGATCGTCTCCTTAAATAACGATCAGCTCCTTAAAGGAGATTTCAGACTGCAGCCCATTTACACCCCAAACGGGGGCATTAATTACACAGACTGCCATATCCCCAACAACATGCGATACTGCAACAGCAGTGTGCCAGACCTAGAGCACTGCCATACGTGACAGCCAGAGGTCCAGCGTTAGAAAGGTGGACAGTGAGACTCTTGAGAACACACACGTGTGTGCACATAAAGACACGCGAATTACATTTGATAAATGTTACGCAGATGCATTTGTGCATTTGAATACTCTGTAATTTATACGGTGTACTATATAATGGGATTTAAAAAAAAAGTGCTATCTTTTCTATTTCAAGTTAATTACAAACAGTTTTGTAACTCTTTGCTTTTTAAATCTTAAAAAAAAAAAATAGTTGCTGAAGTACTGTACAGGGTTGTACAAAGAGAACCCAACGCCAAGTCAGAAGAATGAGTGATTCTTCCTTATGATGCACATTGACCACTTTGCTGTTGAAGCTGTCAGAATAAATTTCCTTTCCTAGAGCTGGTCAGATGAAAAGGCAGATTAAAATGGACTCATCGGAGTAGGGTAAATAATAGGGGTCAAACAAGGAATGGCCCAGATATCTTCATGCTATTTCTATACTTCCTGGTCTGGAAGAAAAGTTAGATATTCCAATATATAAGAAAGGAGGTAGTTACCCTGATTTGACCCAAAACAGGAAATGGAGAAAGCATCATGAGGAAGTCAGTTCCTGTGAGATAAGTTAACCCAACCTGGCAGAATCAAGAAATCAAGATGAGTTTTGAAAAGACCCTTAAACCTGGGGGTTGGCTTTCTGACTGGGGACGTAAAAATCACTCCTCGCGCTTCCCTGGCCCTGTGTGATAACAGAGTTAGAGACTTGAGTCTGATTTTAGTCATCTTCGGGGACAGGTATGATGTCCCAGCAAGAAAACTCCCTTTAAAAGTGTTACTATTCAAATCGTATGTCAAGTTGAATCACATTCAACAGAGATATATTCTAGAATACTTTTTTTAGAAGAGGCTAATAAAATAATGGGAAGATTATATTGAATGGAATTATTTTTGATAATGAGAATTATTTGGGTAGATTCACTGCAGCTATGTCAACATGATATTTAGAGCAACAAGGCTTCAATGTTTGGAATATACTAAAATAACTTGTTACTTAAACATTATTGACACCATTTAGACAAAAGCAAGTGACCAGTGGTTCTGCTATACTATGTCAAATGCTTTTGTTAGTATCATGTTGAAATAGCTTGAATGAATACCTTTATCCCCTTGCAAATTCTTGTCTTCCAATCACCTCACATATATTTTCGTAATTAGCTGTTTATGCTATGTTTGTTTTTCTCCCCCTCTGCTCAATTATGGATGCCAGTCTTGGTTGCACAAAATATTCACATACACTTAGACACTTTAAAATATTGTACTAATTTTCACTGGTAATAATTCTGTAAGGACACATCAAAGCTGGCCGAAATAATGTATTTTTTTAAAAGGCAGTATCAAGTTTCCACCTTGGACTGACTTGGCTCTGTCCTATTTTCAAATTTTCATTTATTCCTTTTTAATATTGGATGTTCCTCTACTTTGGGAACTGGAGAGGGATAATCAATCTTATAATAACAGGATAACAGATGGAAAACGAAGAAGTCAGAGAGCCAGGATTTGTTCTCCTGATCTTGACAGAGCAGGGCACAGAGCAAAGGGCATAGAGAAGAGAGGGATGTCTGTGCTTCATTCTAGATATTTTTGAAGCAATGTCAGTTTTCAGAAGGCATATATAATTTACTCCTTTTCATCCCTTAGATGTAGAAGGGCTATAGATTACATACATTATCTAAAAAATACACCCTTGGAAAATACTTTTCAAAATCAAATTTAAGCATTTCACTCTCTGTTGCATATTTCCTTTACCACTGGCCATTATTTTAGGGAACCATGAAGTTAATATCATAATCATTTTGTGCTCTCTCTCTCTCTCTCTCAACAAAATAGAACTGTGATGTGTCTTCTTTGTAAAAGTTTAGGTATAAATGCTATGCAAGTTTTTCTTTATAGTGAGAGCTTTATTTTCTTTAATAATATACCCCCGACTTAAAAGTTTTAATCTTCTTTGTCCCTCAGAATAAGCAGAAAATATAACTGAAGATATAATGTAGTAGACACAAGAATTGAAACCGTGCAGTCAGTTGAGCTGAAATTAGCTATGAATTAATTTGAATTAATTAATTCTACAGTGATTTTGGTTTCCATTTTAGTCTATTAGCTAGTGAGTTCTGGCTGTTGCTTTTTAAAGCTAAGTCCACACAGTGAAGGAATAAGACAATCTGTGAAGGTGATCGGTGTAGCAGTAAAGCCATCTAAAATTCAGGACAATGACATGGGGTTTTGTGTATTTATCTGGATAATTCCTTTCCACCCTCTTCCCCTTGGCTGTGTAGATAAAACTATGTGTTCAAATGATGGTACTTTGACTTTTGAGGTTCACCCCCCTTTTATCCACAAAACAATCATTCTCATTTTATTTGTATTATGTGTATAACCCCCAATGGGATATTTGGCTGCTGAAATATCTTGCTCTGGGCCAAGAAGATCAAGGTTAGAGAGGAGGTTTCTATAATGTCTTATGGGATTCACAGAACATTTGGGGCTTAAGTGGCACAATGGGGACCTAGCCATATGAAATGGTTAGGATGATCTGAAAAGGTTCTTTTGCTAGAAGGTGTACCTGAAGAGATAGACTCTAGTTACAGGCTTTATTTTGATCTGGTGCACAACGTGACTAAAATGAAAATCAGTCCCCCATTTGTGATAGCATACCTGAGGCTCTCACCTACACCATGATAAAAAGCACATCATGGGATTTTGTAATGTGTCTTAGGAAAACCACTGAACAATCATCAGTGGTGGATATGCTTTGGTTGACATTTTTAGTCATGAGACTGTCTTTTGTTGGTATATCCGCCCTATATTTGGGCCTCTCTTGCTGGCGTTATGTATTTTGAAGTCTTTAGTCAAGAGTCAAGGTCGAAGGTGTAGGCCAAGACCATGAATGAAGCCATGCTCATTGGCTTATAAAGAGCTTGCTGCTCTCTGACCAAATGAGGTGATTTGAGATCACATGTGACCACCATGCAGAGGAAATTATAAAAGGAAAAGACGTAGGCATGATCACACAGATATTACTGACGGCATTTATATCCACGATTGTCATTAATACCTGCTTGTTTGGGAAGAAGTGTTTGATCGTGGACAGACCCTGGGCTTTCCTCAAAACTGGCAAATGCATTAGCAGCCTATCACATGGGACGATCACATGTAGAGACAAGGATTGTGTTCCTCTGCCTATTTTCCTTGTGTAACAAGTGGGAAATATTCTACCCTGTGAGAAATAATGCAGTTTCTAATTATTTGGATGTTGGTTGAAATATATAGTAGACATTTTTTTCCTGAGGATAAAAAAATGTATAATGTGACCAGTCTGGTAAAGAGTATTGAAGAAGTAGCTAATAATACGGCTCCATTTCCTACTACTGCAGATCATAATGGTCTTAGTCATTTCACCGGAGTCAGAACTTCCTTCCCCACTGAGGACATGCTGTCCATGTTGTGAGCAGAGCATCCATTCCAAACACAAGGCAATATTGTTGCCACCCACAGTGAGCAGGTGAGGCATGTGACCAGCAGAGTTTAGCTGCAGAACCCATTGTACCTTTGGACAGTGAAGTGGTTAATTTTCGTTGACTTCTTTGTTTATAGCATTTTTCTCTAACCTTTACAAGGAGACATTAACTTTTACTTTAGAACCAGAGAATAAAGGTGTCGCTCCTGACTTACATTTCCAGCTGCGTGGGAAAGCAAAACAGAAAAGAGCGGTCAAATGGGAGAGACATGTACAGAAAACAAACAGAAAGCCCTCTAGTTCTTAGTTTTGTCAGACCTTGCCAGTGCTCTTATTTTTTAAGTCAAATTGCTACTTTAGGAAGCTGTAGCATACCTCCTTCTCTAATTTCTTCAGGCAGATCGAAAAACAATGGGGGATGCTTGTCACTGATTGTGTGGAGAAAGTTTTGTACATGTATGATACTGTTGTTATAACATACAAATCAGATTATTTTGCTAAAGTTTTTGTTTTGTTTTGTTTTATTTTGTTTTAGCAGCTCATCCACCAGAAGAGCACAAAGCCAGGCCATCGCAACAGGCATTTCTAAGCTAGTGTGAAACATACGTGTGTGCATGTGCACACACACACACACACCACACACACACGCATGCTGGAGTGCTTGTAAAGATATCTATGAGATGTAAGATTTATAACCTTTTCAAGACAAAGGTGAAGGTGTTGCCACTGCGTGTCCCTCATAATACCAGTATATCTTCACTGGAAACTAACCCAGATGATTTGTTATTGTTTGAACCATATGTTGATTTGCTTCTGGTTTGTGTTTAGTGCGTTCTCGCTGACAAAGAACTGCAAGGGGCTGGAAGATTCTGCATCACACATCCTCTGAGACCTACCATGTCACACACTTTGTTAACTACAAATTTCACTCTACACTATACAGTACCTTGTTGATATATTCAGTAAAGGCTTATTTTAAAAGAAAAACATATTGTGTTTATCTGAGTAAGTTTATTGGGTTACATCCAATATTTGTTAGTGCTAAAAAGAACCGAGAGAAGCTTCCAATGATGCAGGAGGTGGGGCAGGAATGAAGGAGGTAATAGAATTTTTCATTTTCTTCTACTTTGAGGACAACTTAGGTGTTTTAAGACCATTTGATCATTTCATGTGAGGAGTTTACATGAAATCTTTGTCTTCTCTTTTATTTCCCATCTATGTTGTGCGTTCCTATGAATAGTTTTTAAATATACACACATAAGTTTTTTAATTGAATATATTGGGCTGACATTGGTTAATAAAATTATAGGTGTCGGGTTTCTAATTCAATAATACATCATCTGTATATTGCATTGTATTTGTTAAATCTACATTATTTAGTATATAGATAAATATCAGTGCAGTTATCAGGATAGTCTTTTTCCCTATTTCATAATATACACTATTGGTTTTAAACATCAGTTTTCCTTAAGAACTCCCATGGTTCTTTTCTACTTCAGAATTGTTTATAGCTCATCCACTCATACTTTTAGTGAGCACTCATGAAAGAGTATCTATTCACACACTCAAGTTCGACTCTGAATTAATCTCAGGATTTTCCAGAACCCTTTTTTTCTTTCTCCTCTTGGTCATTTCATTACTATATTTGACAGAGATTGAATCAAGAAATAAAATTGTGATACTTCAGTAAATTAATATTAATTATTTGTAGACTCTCTGCTGGAAAATTAACTATGAAAGACAGTGGTAACAGGTGATTCATATTACACTTGGGAGATAATATCAATGTATTTTTGGTTATTTTTACCAAGAATTACAGACTTTATACTATGGAAACCAGACCCTTAGTCAAGAAATATTATTCATTCAAGAAAGCCTATTAAACTCTTACTCTGTTCCAGGCCCTGGGCTGAGTTCAGTGGTCTCATAGACAAAAAAAACAGTCTTAGCCAAATCAAACATACCTTCTCCTCCACCCTGTTTCTAAAGAAATCTGTTCATTCAGTGTATCTACTCTTCATCCATTTTCTACAAAGGACTGTTAGATTCCACTGGGAATTCAGAGAAAAATATGACTCCACCGCTAAGGAGCTCACAGATTGTGTAATAAATTCATGTTTGAATTCATTGTAGAGTCTCAGAGCCAATGTAATGACTTACATTCTCATTAAACTCAACAGAGTATCTAAGGTCACAAAAGAAACGTACATACTTGTTGGTAAATTTGATGACACATCTGTTGTATATATTAGATGCTCTTGGTGTTTAAAAGGTGAAACAGTGATCATGCATTGATAAAATCAGAACTCAATTTGAGTTAAATTTTTAAAATTATGCCAAGTATTTGAAAATTTAAGAATTGTATTTGGCAATTAAACACACCACCTCTTAAATTTCCACAGTGCACCAGAATGGAAACTAATCTAAAATAATAATAATGGCACCTGACAATCATTGAGCACCCATGTGTATGTAAGACTGTATTTCAAATACTTTAATACACATGATTGCATTTTGTCTTTAACCTTGTAAGGTGCATTCTCTTAATTTTTCAGATTTCAAAACTCAGCTTCCTGAGGAGTGAAGTGATTGGTCCACAATCACAAAATCTGTTAATGGCAGAGTCAGGAATTAATCCCAAGTGTGACTCCATGGATTCTTAACTGTTTTCTTGCCTCGTAGTAAATCGACCAGCCTTAAGACTGACTAGTCTTTAGGTCAAATTCTTAGTTCATGTTTAAGACTTTTGATGATAGAGAGAACACTTCACTCTGGACGCATATATTATTGTTTGTGACAAATCAAGGGAATATTTTTATAAACCTCAAAATATGTATGTCTTTGCAATCCCTTGGTCATCCATTACTATTTTTAAATAGAAATTCTGTTTTTGTGATTACTGCACATTTATCTGATTTGATGGGTGCACATTTATCTGATTTAAAAGCTTCAGATGGAATCCAGATATGTCTGTACCCACAGGGTGAGCTGAGAGAACTATTAAAATGACTCGAGTCAGGTTATTTTTAGTATTGGATTTGTTTTTTACTTGAGAGGCTGCTCTAAGTATTTTGTAAATACTGCTGAAGATGCTCATATGTCAAAACCTATTAGGACATTAGCAAATTGGTTTCTGCATTTATACTCTCTACACGTTATGCTTTAGAGGATATTATATAAGCTTTATTTTCATTAGTTACACAGAAAGTTAAGGATAAAAAATGTATAATGCTATACTCCAAACCAAATGCCATTTTAGCACACACACACCAACTGATGATACCATTTTCCATTTTCTTGATAACGAAGTCTAAACTAGATGAAAACTTTAATACACTCTCAGTGAGGTGCTTATCATTTCAATGACATATTAAACTTTCATATTGAATAAATCTTTTCCTAATCAAATATGAAATTGTGCTGGCCCAGAGTCTGCTAAACTCTTTCTTTGTGTGCTATGGGCCTGTATTAGTTTAGTTTTGTTTTCATTCAGGAAATATTTGCTGAGACTGGTAAGTTTTGGTGCCGAATAAGACTTTTTTCCAGCAGAGTTAACTTAGTATCATCAAAAGTGTTTCCAAGAATCTGCTGGTTTTCAACACATGGCCTAAGCTGCTCCCACCTCTTTGTCCTTTTTGAACACATATCCTCCTACATTTAGATAATCAGTCAACCATCCTAATTCCGGCTCTTACATGCTCGCTCACATGTGTGTGCTTCTGTTTGTCTTCTAACTCTGACATGGTTACGACTCTTCCCCTAGTCTGACCCCACTTCAAACTTTCCTACACACTGTGGAATAATCTATAAAGAATGCCTGACTGTGGCATTCTTGTTTTCGAAAACATTACTATTCATTTTCAAGATAAAATTCGAACTGTTCGTGTGACATATATGTCATACCACACACTTCTCCCTGGCATTCCTTAGAGGTATTTCTTCAGTCATTATGTGCTCTATTTTAAATACATATTTAAAATGAATAAACAAACAGAAAGTTTTCAGTTTGTTTTCAAGAGATCTCAAGCTCCTCACAGAAAGTTTTCAGTTTGTTTTCAAGAGATCTCTGCTGTAGTTTTGTTCAAGATCTTTCATTCTATGACATTCACATTCTCCTTTGCCTGGTGACGTGTTCCTCCTTCAAGATACAATTCAACCCCTCCCTCTCACCAAGAAATCTTCTTGAATACACTTGTCAATCATCTGACTCCTCTGGTGAAGTTACTATAACTTAAAAATTGTTTTTATTTTTAGTACCTATGTATTGTAATTTTCCATCGGTCTATTTTATGCCTGTCCTCTGGGCCTCCTGGAGACAGTGTATATTCTGTCATTCAGGGCTGAGTGTGATGTCCACCCCCGGCAGGTGCCCAGTACATGCTTTTGGAGAAAGTGTGAATGGAGCACATGGGGCCCTGCAGTGATATTTCAGAAGGAGCCCCACAGAAGGCTCCTTCTGAAATAAAGTCCCCATCCACAGCAGTAGCTCAAGTAACAGATACTTTGTCTGTCCCTATGGCTGGATGACTTAAAAATAAGCCTCAGAAAGAGCTTTAAAATTCTGAATTATGTGGAATAAGCCTTGCCTAAACATTACAATACGAATTTTAAGAGAAGAAGCAGAACATTTTCTTAAAAATCTCTTGGTCACCCATTACTATCTTTTATAGAAATTTTGTTTTTGTGATGATTTGTTGGCCATACATTAATCTGATTTGAAAGCTTTAGATGGAATCAAGATATGTCTACACCCACAGGGAAGACTGAAAGAACTATTAAAATGATTTTAAGAACATCCTTTTCACATTTTAAAGACAACCTCAAAACTCTGAGCCAGGCATATAAAGAAATATCTTAAAGAATTATCTTGGAACTAAATGTCACCATCATGAAAAGTATGGGTAAACACAAAGTCAAAGTAAAACATTTTGACAGTTTGCTAGTCAAAATGAATTCTTCACATGTAAAAACAGAGGTAGATTATTATTTTTTGTTTCTATCAGCAATATCAAAAGAGACAGTCATTATTCACTGTGTCACATCTTATATCTAAAATATGGCATATGTCATTTAAAGGTTCACATTGTATTATCTTGGTTATTATCAAGAAAATAAATAGTTCTATTTTGTAAATGATAGTCCCATAAAGAAGGAGGCCATGGAGAGTGGTGACTATTAACAGTTCAGACTCGAATCAGGCTGACTTATTTGGGAAACCTGCCTCTGCCATTGACCTGCCAATTGCCCTTGTTAATAACTTAAATTTTATGGTCATTGGTTTATTTCACTGTAAATGGAGACAGTGAAGTCAAACATATAAGGTGGTTATCAGAATTGAAGGCACGTAAAGCACTTAACACAGTAGCTGGGACTGAATAAATAATATCAACCACCATGTAATTTTGAGCCAAACCCAATTCACAAACATGGGGTGACATAATGCCAACTTCATGTGATGAAATCAAACTTGAGTATTAAGATCAAAATAATATGTAAGAATCATCTATTTAAAGATAATTAGCATCTCAAATCCCACATCTGTACAACTATTATCAATACAAGTCTGACGGGTTTTTTTCCATTTTTCCAATTCATTTTTTTTTCCTAGAAAAGTTGGAGAAGTAAGGTCCCACAAGGTAGCACAGAATAGTACCAGGGCCTCTGTCTTCTGATGAGGGAGACATCACTTAAAACAAAAAGATAATAGACTTCTTTGTGGTGTAGCAGATTTCCCCCCAGATCTGCAGAGCACATACAGGGGTGGTTAATGCTGAAAATTAGTTCAGGAAATATGAGTATCAAATAGTCTCCAAGAATGAGTGTTTGGAAGACTGAGAAACTGAAGCATTTAAAAAAATCAAGGTAACGACATTGTTTCAAAAATTTCTCATGTTAAATGACAAAGTTTTATTTCATTCTACTACACAACTAAACATAGGATCTACATCCACATTTGGTTGACAGAAAGTGGGGATGGTAGCAACTAAAT